CGCCACACTGGAAAATCCTAGAAGTAAGTAGGGGTGCACTTTAATCTGTTTTCAGATACAATAGCTAATGTATGATACACTATTTGCTAATCACAATTCTAAGCCATGGTAGTACAGGAGCGAAAAACAAAAGTTCTTGTGAAGTTTACATCAAACAGATATGGTAGATAAAGAAATTATGAGCTATGTTAGATCAGTGATAGAATAAACACAAAATAAGAGAATGAGAAATGCAATGATAAGGACTTCAGTTTTAATTAGGAGAGCCTTGTAACCAGAACTGATGGAAGTAAATCCTTGCTCAGAACAGAGGAAAGAGCATCTCAGGTGGAGAAATCAGCTGAGCCAATGCCCTGAGATGGTGAAGTAAACCAAGGAGACCAGTGTGGCTGGAGATGAATTAGCTATGAAGCTTGGGGGTGTGCAAATAGGTGCTATATTCTTGGAGCTTTTATGTTTCTATCATAGGTATAATTCTCAGTATTTTAAGTCACTAAAATAATTTATGAAGCTTGCTTTAGCTAAATGTAGATAATATACCCAGACAGACATAAATTGAATCGCAGTACTTTGCAATAGGCTAGAAATAAAAAAATGAGGATGCAGTGCCACTGTGATTCCCTTCCACATTATGCAGCCATTAGTCTGCCTGGACAATGTCATCACGTATACGTGGTACAATCATCTGACATTGCGGGGATGAGCACTGCTGTCAATTCAAACTGATATTAATGACACTTAATTTCTTATTTTCCATTAAACTAAAACATGAACAGTAACATGAGTCCTAGTATGTTCTTCCAGTCCCTCTCCTCCAGAGGCCCTATGTATCCCTGAGGAAGATGTCCTCATTCTTTGTCCTGGAGAAGTGGGGACTTAGGTGTCCAGCCCAGGCTGGGATGTGGGTCCTGAGAAACCTCTCAATTCCAAGGGAAGCTAATCACTGACTCAAGGACACTGTCTGAGGACAAAATTAAAATACAAAATGGGATCGTGCAGCCCAAAGAAGCTCTTAGTCCAAAGGAGCAGGGGAAACATAGAAAAATCCAGAAAGAGGCAATGAAATAGAATTTATGAAACAGGATTAAGGTTTTTGAAGTGGATTTCAAATTAAATGGAAACTCTAGGTGGTTCAGAGTATAAAGTTTATGTCAGAAATAAAACATTTCCAAGAATTCTCCATCAACTAGTGATAGTTTCATTTTCCCCTTCTAGCTCTTACCCATCTCACTTCTGCTTCCAGATTGTTACGGTTCGATAACTAGTGGTCACTTAACGCCAGCTGGATTACATCAGCGTGCATTGAGAGAAGATGCTCCACCTGAGGAGGGTTGCCAGGATAAATAGGTGGAGAAGAAGGGAGGTGTTGGGAGGGATTGAGGTGTTAAGGAGGTATTATGGGTTCTCCTACGAGTTGCTGTCTGAGCTGTTGGTTCTCCTGGAGAAGCTTTGGTCTTCACATCGAGCACTGCTCCTGGCTCCAGAGGGGAAGATGTGTGCTGCCTGGTCTCCAGGATGAACTCCTCACGCTGCTTCCTGGCACGTACCCGACTATGCTTATCCTCGGAGGAGCTCGGGGCCTCCGTGTTGCTGAGGACAGCTGTGGTTCCTTTCAGGACAGCCCCGCTCTTTGTTGTGAGTGTGACTTCTCGCCTCCAGCGCAGAACCCTCATCCCACTAGCACAGCTCCTTCATCCTGCTGGCATAGACTTTCTGGCTTCCACTGCTGACCCTTGGGTCTTCCCGGCACGAATCTGTAAAAGAGACTGGCATGAGTCCTTGTGGGCCCTGGACTTCCAGTTGTACTCATGGAGGCGTTGTCCTGAGCTCTGGGTTTTTATCTGGACTCATGTGGGACATTGCCGTGGGGTTTAGACTCTTGACTAAATAATGTATGTCACTGGTGTTGCGGATAGATTTCCTGCATTCTCCTGTGTTAACTTCCGGTGACCATTATAAAAATATTATAAACTCCATGTCCTGACCTGAATTGTTCTCTGTGTACAACCCCTGACTACAACACAGATAGACAGACTAATTGATGCCTATCAACTTTCCTAGTTCTAGTGATGAATATCCTACATTCTGGGAATTCTCTCCATCTCAAAAACAATGGCAATTGGCCACATTACTCCAAGATTGTGACTAGACTGAAGATTGGGAGTAGGGCAATGTCAGAAAGGTAGTAAAAGAGTCAAGTCAGTGATGTGGGTCTTGAAGTCTCTGCAGAGAAACTGACTGGGCAGCTCTGAATTGTGTGAGATTTCTGTTCCCATCACCTGTCATAATGAGACTCTAAACACAAGCTAAATTTAATTCTCCTTCTCCCTCCTCCCTCCAGAGAGAGCCAGAACGATACACACCACAAAGCAATGATAGAGATGGCACACTCTAGAGAGAGGAGTTAGTAGATATTGAACTTTTATTCTCCAACTTTTATTTCTTCGTAACTCTGAATTGTTTAAATTTTTATTAAGATGAGTTAATTTATCACTTATGTGATTGAAAGAAACAAAAGAAAGAAGATATGGATTTTTTTCTGTAAGGAAGATATGTACTTATTTTATTATTGTTGTCCTACTAATGAACAGGTCCACACACAATAAATAGAGAGGGAACAGAGAGAGAGGACGGGAGGGAAGAAGCAGGAGAGGGGAACGGGATGAAAACTAGATTCAAGATGTGTTATGTACATACCATATAACTCCTCATGATGAATGTAGTCATTTTGTTCTGTAAATATGTACTAATAAAAATTAAAAATTTTAAAACATTTTAAATACCTATTTAAAAAAAAAAAAAGGAAATGTGACTTTAAAAGTCCTAATTTGTTGTTTTGTTTTGTTTGTTTTGTGCAATTGAACTCATGACCTCACACTTGCCAGGCAGATGCTTATACCACTGAGCTAAATCCTCGGCCCCATAAAAGTTCCAATTTGAAAGAAGAAAACACAATGAAAAATATTGATGAGTGTATGAGCCCATTTGATGTTACTCTAACAAAATACCAGAAGCTATGTCTTTATCAAAAAAAGAGGTTTATTTAGGTCACAGCTTTGGAAGCTGAATTCAGTTTGGGCAGCCCTATCTGCTCAGCCTCTGGTGAGAACATTTTTGGTTATGTCACAACATGACTGAGGCATCATAGCAAGAGGAAAAGTGAGAGAGAGATCATATGGCAAATAGGAATCTAGAAACCAGGGGAGAGCTAGCTTCACTGTTTTTATAACAACCGACTCTGTAAGAACTAACAGGGGTCCCACGATAACTACATTAATCCTTTCCAAGGGCAATGTCCCCCCCCCCCCGACCTAACACTTCCCAGGAGACTTCATCTATTAAAGACTCTACTGTCTCTTTGCACCACTCCATTGGATACCACACAAGACCCCTTCAAGGACAAAGTAAAACAACTAGACTATCATATACTGTACTAGTGGTAGAGAAAAATTGAAGTATTTTTATTTGTTTAGGTAAAGCTTCTGTAGGAAATAGGCGAAAGCTTGAATTTTGGAAAGCAAAGAATGATGTGATTCAAAGATATCATTGTCTTTGAACCTTTTATCATCTTTATCCAGAGCAGTCTTGGTGTAGCAACAACCTGGATGTTTCCTCCTCCCTAAGCTAGTCTCTTCTGGCTTGCTTGAGTCTGGCATGCCCTTTTCTCTCTCCAGGCCTTCTCCTTTGGCACCTTCCAGTGAGCCCCATGGGTTTAATTAGCACTTTCATGCAGACAGTTCCCAAAGCAGTATCTCCAGAGGTGAGCTCTCTCCTGGGTAACACTTCTCATATTTAATTCCTTGGAAGCATCCTGTCCTAAAATATCAAAAACAGAATCTCTTTCACCTTCCCTATTTTCATTTCTACTAATAATACCACAACTCCTCAGCCATGTAATTTTGAGTCAAAACTTCCTTTCCCTTTTCATCTCTCTCTGCTCTCTGTCAGTTGCTCACATCTGTTGATACTGCCTTGGTGTATCTTTCTGCTCTTCTTTTGAGATATCTCTGATATGATCCTGTCCTGGTTACTTTTCTCTTGTTGCTGGAACAAAACACCTGATATCCAAAGTTAGGGAAAGGAAGGTTTATTTCTTACAGGTTGGAGGTTTCAGTCTATATTCAGTTGGCTTCAAGGCAAAATGACATGGTTGAGGGGCAGGGGTTCATGGCTGCCACAAATCACAGGTGCAAACAGCACGAAAGAGAGGAAGACATGCCTTCTTCCTGCCATTATCCTGTATGCCAGCTCCACCCCTGGGTGGGTATTGCACTCATACCACCAATCCAAGCACTAGACAATGAGCCAATTACAAACGCTAAATTTGGCCATGTCCATCATTGCATGAGGCTTAGTGGGGAGGCATCTGAACATAAACCCTAACAGGTCCCTATAACCTTCCACCTAGGCTGTTGAAATAGGGACACTATTTCTAAGAACAACCAGAATTCATTTCATATTTTTCCAGAAATCTCCTGGAAGCAAATCCATTTAGGCAACACCAATTTATTAAACATCTGTTCTTGCACCAGGCAGTGTTCTAGGTTCAAGTGAATTAGGTTCAAATGAATAAATAAAACAAGATTCCTTCCCTCCTAGAGTCTGTATGGGGGAAAGTGACAAGTATTAAACAAATGACTGTATAAGTAAATAACAGAAAAATAAATATCTTGAAAGAATAGCAACTTTGAATATTTGCATTGGAGGGATGGTATAAACACCTTTGGTCAGGGCCAGAAATGTAGCTCAGTGGTACAGCACCTGACTGGCAAATGCAAAGTTATGAGTTCAATTCCTAGTACCAAAAAATAAATAGAATAAAATTCTATAATTTCCTTTAAAAAATACTTTGGACAGAGTGGTCAAGAAAGGCTTTTCTGAAGGAAGGACCCTGTGCTGAGGCCTGACTGAGAAAAATTTGCTTCTCAGTGAAAAAAGTTTTAGGAAAAAGGAGCTAGAAAGTAAAAGATATAAGCAGAAGAAATACACTGAGGGCCTCATAAGAGTCTGAATTTTATTTGCTTTTGTTTTTTGAAACAAGGTCTCATGTAGTTCAGCCTGGACTTGAACTCACTATGTAGCCCAATCCAGTCTCAAATGCATGGGTGGGAATCTTCCTGCCTCAGTCCCCTGACTGCCAGGATTACTGACAAACATTACCACACCCAGCTCAGGAGTCTGAATTTTATCTTTACTGTGAAGAAAACCCATTGAAAGATTTTAAACTGTGGTTAGATGTGATCCAATATAATTTCTTTCTTTCTTTCTTTCTTTCTTTCTTTTTTTTTCTCTCTTTTTCCTTTTTATTGGTACCGGGGATCGAACTCACGACTGCCTGCAAGGCAGACGCTTATGCCGCTGAGCTAAATCCCCAGCCCCAGTGTAATTTCTTAAAACATTAACAATGTAGGCTGAGGCAGGAGGAACACCATGAGGTCAAAACCAGCCTAGGCTACATAGTGAATTCAAAACCAACCTGAACTACATTTGAAAAGCCATTTCAAAAACAACAAAGCAGGCCTCTTTCTGCACCCAAAAGACCTTGGCAACCCCTCCCCCACACTTGAAAGACCTCAGTAGCTGAGGGGAGCCTTGGTTGCTCCACCCTTCACTCAGAGAACCTCAGCTGCTGACAGACCATCCACCACCTGCAGTACTTTGGTGGGCTGGTGGGAGCCTCAGCAGCCCCTCCTTTTACCCAGAGGACCTCAGCAGGCCAGTCAGAGTACAGTAGAGCACCTCAGTATGTCAACAGGTGCCCCAGTGAACCCTCCTCTCACCCAGATGACCTTAGGAGCCAGCACAACTGTAGTTGAATCACTGCATATACAGAACCAAAGGTGAGCTGTTAAGAGTGTTGGCAAAGCCTCCTCCAACCCAGAGAAACCCAACTGGACCTAAAAACCCTCAGTGACACATTAGGGTCCCAGCTGGGGCACACAGTATACACAGGTAGGTCTGATGCCTGGGACAGCCTGAAGTTGCAGTAACAATATGACCCAAGGGCTGGTTCACATTAATACTCCTAGGCTAGTCAGACTAGGACGACTATAAGATTCATGTAACTGGCCCAAAGGAGGAATTCAGGTGACTGGCCGATCCTTGATATTGTAGGACCCAGCAACTGGGTGAATATTATCCACACAGTATTACCCTAAAACACACAAGACCAAAATATTAACCCAAAAGGTGAAAATGACAAAAGAAAAAAGCAAACTGTAATCTCAAACACCCAGCCCATTAGAAACAAGTACAGGAGGCATTAAAATAGAAGACACTGGAAGTCATATTCCTGAAATTTCTGAAAAGATAGCAAGTGAAATAAAGAAACAAATCCATGATGCTATGGAAGAAATCAGATTAGAAACAATCAGTGGATCAAGAAACAAAATCGATCAATATACTGTATACAATAGACACATTTAACTGGAAAGGAAATTCATAGACTGAAAATCAAAGGAGAGAAAACAATTGTTCCATGCAACAGGAGACCAGAAAACAAATAAGGGTAACTTGCCCAACAACTACAGAGTGGATAAGAAACATATGGTGTTCTCACACAATCGAAAGTTATCCAGCTATAAAGTAGAATAATCTCAAGGCTCTTGTAGGTAAATGAATGCAACTGGAGATCATGTTCATGGGCGAGACAGTTTGAACTCATATGAGTGAACCTTAACATAAGAAACAGAGAAAGTGAATGTGATCCAAAAATCAAAATAGTTATTGTAAAAGTGAAAGAGGAAACACCTGGGAGGGGAAGGGGGTAACAACAGTTACTTTCTTATTGTCTTGACATGAACTCTTGTACTGTTTTCACAGTTTTGTTAGGTTTGGCTTTGTTCTGTCTTGTTTTGTTACATTTTACTTTGTCTGATGGTATGGGCAGCTATTTAGAACAAAATGGGATCTATTATGGTAATCATGATTAGTTTCCTATTATCTTGTTTTGAAGTCTTATAATGTTTTCATTCATTTGTTTAATTGGTTTTATTCTGTGTGGTTGTTTGATTTTATTATGTGTGATGAGATGAGCAGATATTCTGAAGAAAATGAGACATTACGGTGGCCATTGTTGATTTACTATCATCTTATTTTGAAATCTTATCATGCCTTTATTTTTTTGTTTTGATTGGTCCTGTTCTGTTACGTTTTGTTTAATTATGTGTGATAGTATGGACAACTTTTTTGAAGAAAATGAGGTATTGTAGTAACCATTGTTCATTTCCTGTTATCTGTTTTGAAGTCCTGCAATGCTTTCATTCTTTTGTTTGATTTTATACTATTTTGTTTGATTATTGTGTGCAAAAGTATGGTCCACTATTGCAAAAAAAACCAAGACATTATGGTAGCCACTGTTTATGTACTATTGTCTTGTTTTCAAGTTCTGTATTGCTTGCATTGTTCTGTTCTGATCTGCCTTGTTCTGTTTTGGTTTGTTTTGCTTTGTTTTATTCTCTTTAAAATAAAAAAAAATTTAAAAAAGAAACAATATCTCAGGTAAAGAAAGTAGTAACAACCTTAATAAAGGAGTTGCTCAGCATAGGCAGAGAATAGATAGATACCAAAGTACAGGAGTATGGGGAAATGATGGAAACCTTGAATAAAAAATATGGCAAAAATAAAATGCATGAAAAAATTCAAAAGGACATACAGGAGACTAAAATTCCACTGAAAGCTGGCAAAAATGCTTGAATAAAACTGAAGACAGACTTTCAGATCTTGAAGACACGTTCACAACTAGCAATCACAAAAGAAAAGAACTCTTAAAAATAACAAGGGGCCATGAAATAACAATTCAACACCTCCAAGATGACGCAAAGAAAACAATATATTATGATAGGTGTCAATGAAAATGCAGAAATCAACTCACTGACATAAAAACTATTTGCCAAAGTAATAGCAGAAAATTTCCCAAGCATGGGAAAAGAAATTTATATACAGATAAGGAAACATATAGGACACCAAATAGCCATAACCAAAATAAATCTACACCCAAACATATAATAATCAAGATCACAGAAATTCAGCATGAAAACATGCTGGTAGAAAAAAGAAACAGCTCATCTATCATGGAAAGCCCATTAGATTCACAGTTGAATTCTCAACACAAACTGTCAAAATGAGCTTGGTGTTAAACATTTAAGCCCTGAAAGAAAAAAACTTTCAACCCAAATTGATGTACCCTACAAAATTTTCTTTCAAAATTGATGGAGAAGTAAGATATTTCCATGGCAAAGAACAACTGGAGAAATTTGTGTCCATCAAACCAACCCTAGAAAGAGTGCTAAAAGGCATTCTAGATAGAGATAAAAACGATCACAACTCCCATAACAACAAAAGAAAAAACCACCAGACAAGGCAAACAATTAAACAAGGGAGTAGGCAGGGAACCAACAACAGGAAAACAATATAACAAAGTTAAGCAGATACATATCACTTATAACTATCAATGTAAATGGCCTCAGTTCACCAATGAAAAGAAACAGATTTGGCAGGATGGATCAAGAAACAGGATCCAACAATATACTTTATACAATAAACACATCTAACTCAAATAGAAACTCACAGATGGAAAGCCAAAGGACAGAAAACAATATTCCATGTAACAGGAACCCAGGAAAAACCAGGAGTAGCTTTTCTGTTTGCAGAGAATGTGAACTTCGAACCAACAATGATCAAAAGAGATAAAGAGGATGTTATGGTTTGAAAACTAGTGGTCAATTTAACGCCAGCTGGATTACATCAGTATGCGTTGAGAGAAGATGCTCCACCTGAGGAGGGTTGCCAGGATAAATAGGTGGAGAAGAAGAGAGGTGGAGGTGGGGATTGAGGCGTGAAGGAGGTATTGTGGGTTCTCCTACGAGTTGCTGTCTGAGCTGTTGGTTCTCCTGGGGAAGCTTTGGTCCTCACATGGAACATTGCTTCCTGGCTCTGGAGGGGAAGACATGTGCTGCCTGGTCTCCAGGATGAACTCCTCACGCTGCTTCCTGGCATGTACCCGACTGTGCTTGTCCTTGGAGGAGCTCAGGGCCTCTGTATCACTGAGGACAGCTGTGGTTCCTTTCAGGACAGCCCCGCTCTTTGTTGTGAGTGTGACTTCTCGCCTCCAGCGCAGAACCCTCATCCCACTAGCACAGCTCCTTCATCCTGCTGGCATACACTTTCTGGCTTCCACCGCTGTCCCTTGGGTCTTCCCGGCACGAATCTGTAAAAGAGACTGGCGTGAGTCCTTGTGGGCCCTGGACTTCCAGTTGGACTCATGGAGGCGTTGTCCTGAGCTCTGGGTTTTTATCTGGTCTCATGTGGGACATTGCCGTGGGGTTTAGACTCTTGACTAAATAATCTATGGCATTGGTGTTGCGGATAGATTTCCTGCATTCTCCTGTGTTAACTTCCAGTGACCATTATAAAAATATTATAAACTCCATGTCCTGACCTGAATTGTTCTCTGTGTACAACCCCTGACCACAACAGAGGGTAACTACATACTTGCTAGGGGAAAAATTGAAGAGGAAGAGATAACAATCATAACTATACATGCTCCCAACTATACAAGACAAATATTAATAGACACGAAAAGTCAAATATGTAATACTACTGTAACAGGGGACCTTAATACCCATTGTCACAAAGACATAGATCAATTAGAGAATTGAATCAAATATGTGAACAAACAAACCCAATAACATCAGAATGCACATTCCTCTCATCTGCACATGAGATTCTCTAAAATAGACCATATTTTAGTCCATAGTGCACTAGGATTGGAAATTAATGGCAAAAGAAACTGTAAAACCTACAGAAACACATAGAAATTAAAATACACCCTCCCAAACAACCAATGATCACAGATGAAATTAAAGAATAAATTAAAAATTATCTATAATTAAATGAAACCTGTGGGATGCAATGAAAGCAGTCCAAAGAGGGAAATATATATATAATTGAATTGGTATTATCAGGAAAACAGAACAAGCACAAATAAACAACCTCAGGCTGCACTTCAAGCTTCCAGAAAAAGAAGAGTAAGTCAATACCAAAGCTCACAGAGGGGAGGAAGTTATAAAGATCAGAGCAGAAATTAATGCAATTGAGACTAAGAAAACAATACAAAGAATTAATGCATCAAAGAGTTGGCTTTTTGAAAGACTAAACAAAATTGATTAAATCCCCAGCCAACCCTATCAGGAAAAGGAAAGAAAATCAGTTTCATGCAATGAGGAGTGAAAAGGGCATTACTTCAGATCCTGTGGAAATTCAGATTATCAATAGCTACTTTGAAAATCTTTACTCACAGAAGCTGAAAAACACAGTGGGAATGGACAGATTCCTAAAACCATATGAGTTGCCAAAGCTGAGTGAAAAAGGTATAAAATTTTTGAAAAACCCAAAATTGAAAATGTAATTAAAAACTTAGCAACACAGAAAAGCCCAGGTGCTGATGTATTTATAACTGATTTCTACAAGAAATTTAGAGAAGACTTAAAGCCAATACACTTCAAACTCTTCAATGAAATTGAAAGGGAAGCAATTCTCCCTAACTCATTCCTGGAGGCAAGTATCACTCTGTTACCAAAAGCAAAGAAAGATCATCCAAGAGAACTATAGGACAGTCTCTCTAATGAACACTGATGCAAAAATTCTCAATAAAATAATAGCAAACAGAATGCAGCAAATTATCAAGAAGATTATGTGCCATGACCAAATGATATTTATCCCAGGAATGCAGGGATGCTCAACATAAACAAATCAATAAATTCAGTACACCACATCAACAGAGCCAAAGGGAAAAAAATCACATGATCATCTTTTTTTTTTTTTTTTTTTAAGCCAGTCAAATTTAGCAGTGGGGGGGTGGTATGATCATCTTAATAGATGCAGAAAAAGCTTTTGATAAAGTCCAACACTTGTTCATGATAAAAATCTTACAGAAAACCAGAATAAGTGGTCTCTATCTCAATCTGATAAAAGCCATCTATGACAAACTAACAGCCAACATCATACTAAATGGACAAAAACTCAAAGCTTTCACTCTAAAATCAGGAACAAGAGAAGGACGTCCACTATCACCACTCCTATTCAATATAGTTCTGAAAACATTAGCCAAAGCAAATAGACAAGAAAGAGATATAAAAAGAATGAGAACAGAAAAGGAAGAATTTAAATTATCATTATTTGCATATGATATGATACTCTACGTAGAAGAGCCCAAAAACTCCATCAAAAGGCTATTAGAAATAATAAGTTAATTTGGTAGCATAGCTGGATACAAAGTAAACCCTCAAAAAAAAAGTAATATTCTTTAAAAAGGAGATTGATTTAGCTCAGTGGCTCAAGTGCTTTCCTGGGAAATTCAATCCCTGGTACAAAAAAAGATGGAATAAAATGTCATAAAATGGAAAGATTCCTTGCTCTCAGATAGGAAGAACTAACAGTGAAAGTGGCCATACTACCAAAACTGTTATTCAGATTTAATGCCATCCCAATCAAAATACCATTAACATACCTTACAGATTTAAAGAAAACATTCCTAAAATTCATTTGGAAACATAGGAGACCTAAAATAGTAAAGGCAATCCTGGGCAACAAAGGGAGGGCCGGAGGCATCACAATCCCTGACTTGAAATTATATTACAAAGCTGCTGTGATAAAATCAGCATGATACTGGCACAAAAAAACAGACTTGAGGATTGATGGAACAGATTAAAAGATGCAAACAGAATTACAAAGATACTCAGTAATCTGTACTTTGACAAAAGATCAAACCATGTTCACTGGAAGAAAAATAGCCTCTTTAATAAAGAGTGCTGAAAAAATTGGCTTTCCACATGCCAAACACTAAAACTAGACTCATATCTATCACCATGCACTAAGCTAAAGTCAAAATGGATCAAAGATCTAAATATTAAAATAGAAATTCTAAATCTACTGGAGGACAAAGTAGGTAGAAACCTTTAAGACACAGGGGTAGGCAAAGAGTTCATGAACAAAATACAAACCACAAAGGAAATACTTCAAAGAATCAACAACTGGAATTTCATCTTATTAAAAAGTTTTTGCACTTCAAAAGAAAACCCCAACAGAGAGAAAAGAAAACCCACAGAATGGGAAAGAATTTTAGCCAACTGTCTCTCAGACAAAAGACTTATATCTAGAACATACAAAGAATTGAAAAACATCAGCCCCACCCCTAATTCAAAGACCCAATCCAAAAATGGGCACCTGAGATGAACACACTTCTCAGATGAAGAAATAAAAATGGCAAATAAACACATGAAGAAATGTTCAACATCACTGGTCATTCAAGAAAATGCAATTTAGGGGCTGGGGATTTAGCTCAGCAGCATAAGCGCCTGCCTTGCAAGCAGGCAGTCGTGAGTTGGATTCCTGGTACCGATAAAAAGGAAAAAGAAAAAAAAAATGCAATTTAAAACAACACTGAGATGCCATCTCAATCCAAAAAGAAGGACTGCCAAGAAATCAACCAATTACAAGTATTTTCAGGGCTGTGGGGGGATAAAAGAACACTTCACTGTTTGTGGGAGTGAAGACTAGTACAGCACTATGGAAATCAGTGTGGCGATTCCTCAAAAAACTAGCATTGGATAGACCATTCAATCTGGCTATTCCCCTTTTGGGTATTTTCCTGGAAGAGTTGAAAACATCGTGCCACAGCAATAGATAAATCTTGGAAGCAACTCAAATTCCCACCAACTGCAGAATAGATTAAAAAAAAGATGTGGTATTTTTATACAATGGAATATTGCTCAGTTATAAAGAAGGATACATTTGAAGCTTTTACGGGTAAATGAATACAATTTAAGAACATTCTCACAAGTGAAATAAATCAAACTTAGATGTGTAATGTCATATTGTCTTCCTACTGTAAAAAAAAAAAAACCTGAAAGAGTAATAAGGTCCAAAATGTACAACAGATACAGTAAAAAGGAAAGTGTTCAAAAGAAAAGAACAACTGGGAGAGAGGAAAGGAGAAAAGGAAGAAGGGACAGGGTTATATGGATATGGGGATACGTATGCATGTGTTTATGCATGTATCTACAAGATAGATAACTGCACTACTAATCTCTGTAAGGTCATCAAAAAGGACAGTTTGTGCTTTCACTGTTTGATCATGTTCTTCATGCCTAAATCTTGTAATCTGAACAACTACTTTTAAGATAACAATATGCAATATATTAACTAGTGTTAATTTCCTATCTTTTTAAAATTCTGTATCATTTCTGTCCTTTTGTTTTGTTTTTAAAATTAAAAAATTTTAAGGAAATTAGTAATGTGAGGAATGGCTTGTAAACTGAGGCATGGGACAGATGGTAGAAATAGTATGGAGAATGATTTGGAGGAGGGTGGGACGTGGAAAAGATGGAAGCCAAGAGAAAACCAGGAGCTAATAAAGTTGTTCAAGTGACAGGTGATAATGGTTTGGGTCAAGGAGACACCCGCAAAAATCTTGTGAAATGATTTCAAATGTATAGAAAAGAGAAATTTGCTGAGATATTGTGAGATATGAAGGAACTCATGGATGCGTCTAGATTTGGTCTGAGCAACCATGTGATAAAGGTCTATGAACAAAGACAATAAATAATGAATAAGGAGTAAGCTTGGAAGGCAAGGACAGGGGAGATGTTAAGTTCGAGATGCTTAGTAGAGATTTATGGAATGGCTGCTTGCTTCCCAGTGGTGTCATTTAATGTGTTCTATTTCCTGGTAGCTACTATATTCTGTTAACTGTTCATCTAAATTTTGATTTAGATGCTCACATTTTGGTAATGATGACATTAACATATCTCTTAGATTGGGGCATTTGGGCGTTTTCTCTTTTTCTGTTACAAATAGTGCTACTATAAATTGCATATATATATATATATATATATATATATATATATATCCATATTTTTCCTATGAATGTTTGGAATGAGTCCTTGATATGGAATTGGTGGTTCAAAATGTAAGGGCTGATGAAATATTAATAAAGATGGACAGGTGCCCTCCTCTAGTGTTGTACTTTTATCTGCAAAGTATAGGAGTGCCAGTTTCTCCACAGCCTTGCCAGCAGAATCCAATTGTGACCCTCCTGGAGTTTTGCCAATCAAATTGGAGAGAGATGGTATTTTAAAGTAGGTTTAATTTATCTTTCTAATCATGAGTGAATTTGAGCATCTTTTTGTATCTTTAAATGCCATTTGA